CGAGGCTGTCAATATATTAAATCAATTACTGTATTCACTCGTCTTTTTTCTAGGCAACGTATTTAAAACTTGAATCACCTTGGTAATAAATAGCCCTATTATTAAAAAAAAAAATAGATGATTGTTTTGAAAGTGATATTCATCTTAATTTTCTGGGCAATAGATATGAAAAACATCGAATAAATTTGGTTCGACTGCTTTACAAAAATGATGTATTCAAGCCAATGGCTATCAAATCATCCAATTCTTTCTTTTCAATTTATAATCATTGTTAAACACTTAATGCACTTTATGTATGGGCATACCTACTCAATAGTAGGTCCATATGTGCAAAGGCCTAAGGTGGGCCATGTATTTGTGGAATGATAATTTTTCGTGGCACATGGTTATGGTCTACCTCAAGGAGGGCCTTTCCAAGGTTGTAACACGGCTAGGCTCGGGGTTTGAAGAAAATGGACAGGCTCAAGTATTTATTCCAAATTTGTGAAAGAACAATAATAAACAAGATTTGCCTTAGCTTAGGTGATAAAACAATCAATTAATTATTCCAATTCTAGTCCTTAATTAACGCAAGATACTATGTGAAATTAATTAATTAAAGTTTATTTAAAGTCATTAAACAACACTAATTAATTATTTAAAGTTATTTAGGAAAAGAAAAGTAACGTGATTTATCTAAGTGCTCGGGAATTTATCACTTTTCCTTGCTAGATCTTCATTTAAAACACTTATGGACTCTTTCTTGTTTGAGAACCTCCACCGTAAGAACAAAACAATTAAAGTGTGACTGTTTAGGACAAGAGGATTGATCATTGCATAAGTTCACACTACAAATTCCTTATAAATCCTACACTTTTTTCCCGACAATATCAAAAGTGTCTCCATTAAAATTGATTTCCTTGTAATCTCGACACTTTAATTGACACTTTAATCAGTCACAAATTAATCCCGCCTTTATTTCACAATGTATTCCACGTGGGGTCTTTTTTTACTTTAGCGGTTTATTAAAAAATTAAAAATACTAATAGTGGGAATTTAGGAAAATCGCATAATCTCATCAAAATCTCTCAGCTCTCAACCCTAGCTACGCATTAAAAAACTACTTGAATTCTGAATTTCGAGCCCCTCAAGAATCAATATAATCTCTCGGCGAAGAATCTTGAAGCTTGCAACACCATTATAAGCCACTTGAATCAAGAGCTAGGATTTATTTATAGTTTCAATTGCTAATTAATTAATCTCGTAACCCCATTATTATATAGAAAATCGGTTTTGTTAGATTGTGTATACAATAGTTTAATCTCTAATTAATTGTATTATTAGTAGAATATATTTTTGAATTACATTCCCAATTGATTCTTAAGGTCGGCTCTGATTATTTTATTTGACATTGTATTAAATTTTTCAATTGGAATTTTATGTTTTTTGCCGTAATAAAAAGGGATTGGAAGAGCGTGATGTTTTTAATTGAACTTTTAGTTTCAAAGAAAACTGAATGATTGAATTAAAATCCCAAATCATATTTCATGTGTGTAAGTTTTGTATCTTTATTGTTAAAGTAATTGTATACTGAATTTCAATACAAATCTTGACGTCATAGATAATTGTGTAAAAATGAGTATAGATTTGAATAAAATAGAGTAATTAAACAATTTGCTAATAGAAATTAATAGAAAACATGATCCATAACTTACTTTATTAAAAATTTGTAAGTATAAGTTTGTACAGAACAACTGACTCCTTACAATTGTGTTGTAATACAGATTTATCTAAGGCGTGTTGATTCAATACATTGAGAAACTTCAGAAGGATTCCAACAACTTCCTAGTACCTACTTGGTATGCACATAACTATAACATTCTTGATTATGTCGTTTTCTTGTATTGTCAGTGTTGTGGTGTTGATTTTTGCTTCGGCAAAAGGATATAATTTCTTCTAGATCAATATGCATGTACTCATATTTTTTATGCACAAATTCTAATAGATTGTGTAATTAATTTTTGGTTAGTGAGCTGTTGTTAGTGGTGCGTGGTTAGTCCAAGTTTTTTCATTGTTAAAGTTTAGTTCATTCCTTGTATATGTTCTTTGTACTAACTTTAAATCATCTTTTCTTAGTTATTAGCTCATCACCTCTTAATTCACATGTTTAAGCTAATTATTATTTGAATTAATTTTTTGTTCTATGGATAATGTTTAGTATTGACTTTACTTTTGATTTAACCTCTAATATTGAGGTTAATGACACCTACTCTCAATTGGCCTATTGTCTAGTATAATTAGATAATGATACCGTCACTAATTATCATTTTTATTAGTTTATGCCTTCTTACATGTTTAACATGTATATCTATTTATGTCACTACCCTATTAATAATTAGACATTTAGACATTAACAACTAAGTAATGTTATCATTCCATTTATTAAGAAGTGTGTAGTAGATGGCGGTATGTGTAGTGGTAAGGTTTCCAATTAAATTGTTGATTGCTCCATTAAGGATACACGTATAGTAAATATCATTATAAGAAATAATATATAACTTCAAGAAACTTCTTTGTAAAAATTATTTTATAGGCATGGTTTTGACACACGTTAAAATGTGAGTGTTAGCTACTTTAAACTTACTCTAATTCTTTTTTTTTTCTACATATAATAGTTATACTGGTTGTTTAAGCTTCAGTCTTGCTGTACTTTTTTTTTCTAAGCATATTCTTATTATTTGAAATTAGAGCATGGATATGGATACAAGTTGGATTGAATTACCGAATAGACACCCATTGTATCGTGCTGGAACAATCAAATTCATTAAGTTTGCTAGAAAAGGGTATGTAGATGGGAAAGCTCTCTGCCCTTGTAAGAAATGTAAGGTTAAAAAATGGTTGACAATACAAGAAATAAAGGAGCATATTACATTCAAAGGCTTTGATAAGAAATATAAGAAATGGATTTTTCATGGGGGAAGAAATACACTTGAGCGCATATTAAGTGATCAACGGGGGTCATTGATTGATCATGGGCCTAGAAGTACTAGTGCTGGCTCACTTAGGGATCAACAAGGTCTTGTAGGTCGAGATGATATGAGAGGTTTATTGGGAGATGCATTTGGGGTCAACCTTTCCCATATTAATGAGCCTACTGCATATTCAAACATTGAAACAACTGGCGTAAGTTCAGAAGATCAAAGCCAACCTCGCTTATTTAACCAGTCTGAAGTTCAAGGCCTAACCCCATCTGCATCCCCATCCCCAATGCAAGTCCTAAATGAAAAAGAAAAGGCTAACTTTGATAGACTATTAGAAGCCTCAAATAAAGATTTATATGAAGGGTGTACAACTTCTTCCAAACTCTCATGTACATATGTTTCACATTAAGTGTATGCACCATTTGTCTGCTGAATCCTATACAATGATTCTTGAACTTTTAATAGAAGCATTTCCTCATATTATGGAGTTCCCTTCATCTTACTCCGAATAAAAAAAATGATTAATAACTTAGACCTTGGGTATGAAAAAATTGATGCTTGCCCAAATAATTGCATTCTATACCGGGGTGACTTTGCTGACAAGGATGAATGTAATGTATGTCATACTTCGAGAGGAAAACAACAAAGTGTAAAAAGGGTGATACAAGTGGGGAAAATCAAGACACTAAGAGAAATGAACATGCTAAGGTTTTACGATATTTCCTTATGATTCCAAGGTTGAAAAGACTTTACATGTCATCCAAGACAACAAAAGATATGATATGGCATCACAAGGATCATGATAAAGATGAAGGGATTTTGAGGCATCCTGTTGATGCTTCAGCTTGGAAAGATTTTGATCATTGATATCCCAATTTTCTTCAGATCCTCGTAGTGTGAAGTTAGGGCTTGCTAGTGATGGGTTTAATCCTTATCGCTTAATGATTACCACATATAGTACTTGGCCAGTGGTGTTGATGACTTATAACCTCTCACCATAGCTATGCATGAAACATTCTTCATTAATTCTTTCTTCTATAATTCCGGGAAATTCAAGCCTAGGTATTGACATTAATGTCTATTTGCAGCCATTAGTGGATGAATTGAAACTACTATAGGAAGGAGTAGATGCATTTGATGCTTATAGAAAACAAACATTTAAATTGTGTGTTGCTCTTATGTGGACAATCAATGATTTTCCCGCTTATGCAATGTTATCAAGCTGGAGCACTAAGGGCTATTGTGCTTGTTCATCATGTGCCAATGATTATCGTGCAAAAAGTTGGCGGGAAAAATGTGTTATACTAGGTATGGCAAGTGGCTGCCCATAGATCACACATATTGATTTGAAGCCCAATTATTTGATGGCAAACAAGAGTATGGCCTTGTGCCAAACCACCAATTAGGGGCTGAAGTGTGAATCCAACAAGAAGAGGTTGCTTACGTATATGGAAAAGGGAACAAACCTCCCAAGAAAAAAAGGGCAAGACAAGATGGTGAAGATAATGTTGATGAGGATGATGGTGATGATAGTTTTTTTGTGGACTAAGAAGAGTGCATTTTTTCAATTGCCTTAGGCCCTGTTTAGTTCACCTTATTTTTACTTATTTCAGAAAAAATAAGTTCAGATCACATCAGATCAGAAAAAATAAGTTCAGATCAGATCAGATCAGAAAAAATAAGTTCAGATCAGATCAGAAAAAATAAGTTTAGATCAAATCAGACCAGAAAAAATAAGTTCAGATCAAATACAAATTATTATTATTATTATTATTATTATTATTATTATTATTATTATTATTATTATTATTATTATTATTATTATTATTATTATTATTATTATTATTATTATTATTATTATTATTATTATTATTATTATTATTATTATTATTATTGATTTATGATGTATCGGATTTGATTTTATCGTTTGTTTGAACTAGCAACATTGTCTATGTTATTAAATAGCACAAACAATAAACGATAATAATTAAAATTTTATTATAAGCTCCAAATCATAAACGTTTACAAATATAATTTTCATTACAAGAAGTTCCAAATTTCTTTCGCTATATTAAGTTGTACTTCTTTCATTACAGTTTTACGATTCTCGTTAAACAAATCATAATCTGCTCTTGGTTCGATTTCTATACCACTATCAATGGGTATATCCAACTCATGTAATCGAATAAAATTGTGAAGTGTGAATGTAGCAACCATAATTGCCAATTGATGTTTAGTGTCCATATTTGGCATCATTGTCAATATTTTCCATCGAGCTTTTAATTGTCCAAAACATCTCTCGATCGTTGTTCGAAGTGAAGAGTGAAGATAATTAAAAAGTTCAAGCATGCCTTGTGGTGGTGGACCATTTCGAAATTCGGGCAAATGGGTTCTAATATCTTTTTCTTTTATTGGACTCAAATATCCAGCGGTATTCGGATATCCAGAATCTACTAGATAATATTTTCCTGTTACAAAATAAAGTTATACAGCATATTAGTATAGTGTCATGTATGGAGTAAAAACATACACTATTTTAAATTATACCTAGAGGTGGATGGAGAAATCGAAACTCTGGTACAGTTAAGCAATGGTTCCATACAGTAATATCATGAGCACTACCTTCAAATCCAACGTTGATAAACGTGAAAAGCCTATCAAAGAAATAGGCAGCCAAAATATTCCATGTTTTTTTTCCAGTACGCCCTCGATGTGCCACACCATCATCATCGCTTACAACTGCTTTTATATGAGTCACATCCAATGCTCCAACACAATCCTAATAGTTCATTAACATTTAGGATACATTTTATGAATGATTATATATTGCACATGCATAAAATAATATAATGTCAATGCAAGATAATAATAATAATGTTTCTTAATACCTTGAAATATGGCCAATATTTTGTGTTGTCACCTATTTTTTTTGGCACCACGCTCAAACTTTGGTATGATCTTATGATCTCGGTAGACAAATGAACCATTGCTTCCGGTACTTGTTTAAAGTACAACCCAATTGTTGCAATAGAGTGCTGAAATCGACCGGCAACATCACGATAAGAACTGCCTTTAGCCATGATATATAAAAATATTCCTAATTGCTCAGCCACAGATATGTAACGACCATCCGATAATAAATTTTTATTTTTCATGTAAGTAACAAGATCCACAAATATGTTTCTATCTAATCTCAATTGTTCTTTGCATAAATCAGGATGGGCATGTAGTAGTTTGTTTATGTATTCGCTACCAGATTCTCCACCTAACCTTAGAGGCAATCTCTCAATTGGTGTAAGAAGTCTCTTTAGCTCTTCCAATGCGATAATTGTCAAGCACATTGGAAGTGTGTTATCCATTCTACAACATAAATCAACAAAATACCAACATTATTCAATTTGTAAAATAAAATCAACAATGACTTTTAAAATAAAGGCTAGAGCTTCTTAATTAGATCACCTGAAAAGCAATAGCATCATATGAAGCTACTTAAACCTAAAGGTCAGAAAAAATAGTAGCTTTATATGTGGAACCTTTATTAAAACTAGAACAACATAAAATAACTAACAAAGAACATATGAAAGTGCAAAACAAGTCATAGGAAAACATAAGACAAAGTTAATTTCAAATACTCATCACCCCAAAAAACCTAATTAAGGACCACCCAATGATGGATCTTGAAATGCTGTCTTCAAATACATGATCTTCTGATCATCACTTCGGAGACCTAAGAAGAAATTTGAATTATCTCCATGATGAAGAAAATTCATACATTGGTAAATAAATCCTTCTCCTTGTTGAACAATAGCCTCAATATTGTATAGAGCATCTGAGACATCTTTATACTTATTACCACTCCCTTGCTTACAATTAGTTTCAATAGACATTTTTAACAACTCTATACAAGAGTCAATGTTACTACTCTTGTTTTTTTTAAGTTTACTAGTACACCCATCACTCCTACGTTTCCCCAACGAGGTACTTTTAGGAGGTGAAATGCTCTGTTCATCATCCGAATTATTTATTCCCCTACTTATTTCCATATCTCCTATATTTTCAACACTGTCCCCAGACCTTTCCTCATTTTCTTTATCAATTTGTTCCCCACCTAATCCTGGAGAAAAACTACATTTGCTAGTAGCAAAAGACCCTGAAAAAAGTGCCTGTAACTTCTCTAGATGAGGAAATGGTCTTCTTAGGAATCTCGCTGGCATACCTTTATGTTTCTGCATAAATGCACAAAATTTCAATTAAATAAATTTTAAAATAAACTAGCATTGTAGAGGTCATAATGCAACAAAATGGATAAACAAAATGTCGTACCTTCACAAATATATTTCTACCTATCATCTTGTTCAACTAGAGGGCAACCAGTAATAGGATCAAATGTAAGACCGGTCCAATTGAGTTCCATTTCATTCCAAATTTTGAACCTTTTCCTTAAATCATCCCAATGATTTCTTGCTTGTTTAATATTGAAATTCTTCCCACTTTTAACATTTAAAGTACTCACTATTCTATCCCAATTAACCTTTGATAGTCCACCTGCTTTCATCTCCAAGCATATGTCCAAAAAAAATTATGTGCTGTCATCAGACCATGCTACCCTACCAGCCATTACACTATGATCAAGAGCACTTTAAAATTATTAGTTTCATGCATGAAAGATATAAATAATCAAAATAAGTACATAAATATATACACTACGTTTCTTATGTATATAGTATTTATCCTCAAATCAATGCAACCAAACTCCACCATTTAAATTATTTTCCTTATTTACTTTTATAAAAGACATGCAACCCCGATATCCTCCTTTTTCCTTGGTGTGTGTGTGAGGTCTTGTGGGGAGAGGAGGGGGGCTTGTAAATCACTAATGTCTACATACTAGAGGTAGCTTGAATTTGGCTAAAGTAGTGGTAATAATTGAATCTCAAATAGATAAGTTCTTTACTTGATGCTATTATAAGTGGACAAGTTCTTTACTAATTCATCTCTTCTTTTACTATATTAACACTATACGTATTACCAAAATAAAGTATTATCAATCATTATAGCAATGGTCACCCAAAAAAAAAAAAGACACTATACGTATTACCAAAATAATTAAAGTGTTATCAAAATAATTATAGCATGGACCACTTATAACAAGTATAGTAAAAGATTTCCAATATTAGATTAATTCTATTCTTTTCCTCCTTTGCCAGTTTTCCCCATGAGCACCCCCTTCACCGCCACCGGCCCCACCCCCATAACCACTAGCATAATACATGACCCAACTCTAAACAATTAAACCCATAAAGTAAACAATTCACAAATCACAAGTATTGTAAAAGTTAAATAACAAGGTGACAATCGATAGATAATTTTCAAAAAAAAAAAAAATGATATATCATCTTATCACCTACTATACAATCATCAATTTGACTAATAATTTGACTACACAACATAATAATTGAAAATTAAATAATTCCTCCTTAGATAAAAATTCAATTGAAACAATAATATACTCCGTAACTAGTAAATTACCTGATGAAGTGATGATTGTAGACGAAATTATGAAAATATAATTACAAAAACAATAAAGAGTTATGGTATTTACCTATCGACGAGATTGTATACGAGCAAGCTACTACAATGACCAACAGAAGGACAAAATTTGGGAGAGATTGATGTGTTGTAGGTAAGAAATATTGCAATACGAAAAAATATATATGCACAAAAAAACTGTAGTACCAAACTACCAACACTCCCAATTAATATTTTTGTCAGTCAACTATGCAGATTTCTATGATAAAGTCATAAAACAATACTTTTTTAGGAATAAAACAATACTTGATATGTAAAGAAAAAACAGCCAACCATGCACCATGCAAATACATGTCTGGTATTCATTTCCTAGGATAAATTCAATGCGCCATTAATTGTCAGTTATCAGATTAGATTAATTATTATAAAATGAGATAATTAGAGAAAACCCAGTTCAGATTTCTAGAATAGACAGGCAGTAAAAATACAGTACCGAGAAAACCCAGTTCAGATTACAGAAAAATTAATTTAAAATAAATAAATTAAACAAAAGAAAAATGTGAGTTCAGATAAAATCAAAATCTTAAGATAATAAAATTAACACATCTGAAAAACTGATGTTGGTGGATAGATCGTGGAAGCTTTAAAAGAGGAAGATTCAAATTGAGAAATTACATACCGTACGGTTGGTCTTCAAGAAGAACATCATCGTCCTTTTCATTATCGTCTCTTTCAATTTATCTCATTAAAATGTTGTTTGCCTCTCAATGTAGCTCAAACATTCAGCAGAACACTGAAAATCGGCGTGAACAAATTACCGGCGCACGGGATTTCATAATAGCAGGTAGATCCGGTTGACGATTTTGGGTAAGGATTGATTTTTTTTCACTTTGAAAACCCTCATTCTGGAAATGGGAATGGTTTTACAGAATATGAAGATGGTAAGAACATGGGGAATATCGGCAGTTTTGGTATTTATTTTTCTGTTTTTTACTTTTTTTAATTTTTTAAGGGATAATTTTCTGTTTTGTAAATGTAGTTTTGAGAATATAAAGTTGTAGTTATATTGTGTTGATTGATTTAAGTTATGATTATAAATAAAATGTGGGCTCATTATGTTATAGTAATATGGATAAAATAGTCATTGTACAAGGAAAAATTTGTCAAAAAAGGAAAATATATATTTTTTGGCACTTTTAATTTACTTACAGAGTATAATTCGTGCGTGACCCAAATCATGTCTTCCAAGTTTCAATAGAGGAGCCTAATGCTAACATGGGTCGGAAGAACCTATGAGAGGTTCCGACTCAGTAGAGTCTTTTTCTTTATATAAAAAAAAGGTTCAATAGAGGAACAAATGAATAAAAAAACACTTAAACACACTAAACAAGTTAAATATAAAAGCTTAAATAAAAAAAGGAAAATGAAATTTAATATCCCACCTTTGCTCCATTTTCCGGAAACAATCTCACCTTTTGAAATTTTAGAAACAATTCCATTAACAATAATGATATTATTATTATTTTTAATAATAATATAATATAATATAATATAATAATAATAAGAATAATAATATAATATAATAGTAATATAATATAATAATAATATAATATAATATAAATAATATAATATAATAATAATAGTAATAATAATAATAATAATAATAATAATAATAATTAAACATTAATATTAATTAACATTTAAAGTAGAATATTGAAATAATTAAAATAAGGTCAAATCAGAAAAAATAAGTTCTGATCAGATCAAAAAAATAAGTTCAGATCAGAAAAAATAAGTTCAGATCAGATCAGATCAGAAAAAATAAGTTCAGATCAGATCAAATCAGCTGAAATCAGGTGAACTAAACAAGGCCTTACTGAGAGCATAATCCTCTTCGCCATAATTTAGATGTTATGCATATTGAAAAAAATGTATGTGATAATTTTCTAAATACTTTACTAGGTGTTGATAAAAAAAAAAAAGTAGGATAATGAAAATGTTAGGAAAGCAATGAAGGAGAAAGGAATAAAACCACACCTTTGGATTAAAACAAATCCTAATGGGCAATCAGTTATGTTGCCTGCTTCTTACTCCATGTCCAAAGAAGAGAAGCATCGGTTTTTAAGAGTATTGCAAAAATTAAGAGTTCCAGATGGATATTGTTCTAATCTTTCTCATTGTGTAAATATGAAACAAAAGAAGCTTCAAAATCTTAAGAGTCATGACAACCATGTAATAATGCAAGATCTATTGCCTGTTGCTATACAAGCATCAAGAGCAACAGAAATCAGAGATTTGGTGTCAGACTTGTCATCCTTTATTAAAATTGTGTGCTTTACAACTCTTAATGTGAAAGAGTTGGATGAGATACAAACCAAGATTGTCTTAACTCTTTGTAAGATGGAGATAGAATTTTTGCCAACCTTTTTTACAATCATGGTTCATTTAGTCGTTCATT